GCAAATAGTAAATTTCAAAAGTAAATAAATAGATTATGAAAGGACTAAACCAGTTTCGAGACGAGGTAATTCCGAAGTGGTACTTGTTTAATTTTTAACAAATACACCCAATTCTGTTTTTACACGGTTTTCATTTAACACGGTCTAGAAAAATAAATTCAATCTCCTTTTTACACATTTTCATTCGATATTTCGAGTGATGATAGTGATTTTGAACCAGTCTTACGCAAGACACTATCGCGGAACACTATCGCTGTTTTCAATTTTTAATTCCTGAATTCGTGATCATTTTTAATTTACATATGTTACTTTTACTTTAAGAATTCAATTACCTTTTGTTTTCATAAAATAAACTGTGCATGAATGCACATACAAATCAAATTTGCCTTTTTATAAAGACCCTTAATAAAGTTTTTTGTATGAATCCTTATATTTTAGCTATGTTTTACAGATTTTAAGGATATGGAACCAATCCCCTATTTTTCTATGTATGTACACGATGTCTTTTTTTACACGGTTTTTTCTGGAACGTATCTACCGTGTAAAAACAGAATTGGGTGTACTAAATGCATTTTATCCTGTTTCGTGGGAAGTTGACTAGAGCATGAATGAACACTTAGCTCGGAACAGTTTTGTGGTGTTCGAAGAGGCTCCGCACGTGGGTGACAGGTGATGGAATATTTAAGCGCGATGAGCCACCTCCTATGCGCTACTGTTAAAGGCACGCGACGTGCATTCTATGCAAATGGCCGGCAGATGCGCGGATAACGCCGAAAATTTGTCCTCGAACGGTACAATGAGTTATCGCCGCCATTTTCTAACATTCTGCGCTTAGTAAACGCGACACGTAAAGTGAACGAGTCATCTGAACCATTAAATCCAAGTGAAATACAATATGCAAACACTTTGCGTTTCTTACGATCTAACCAACTTTTCATTGTATTATAATTATTATATATTTTCTGAACTAGTTGAACTTTTGCAACTATTTCCTTTTGATTCTGTATTCTAACAAGTTTGTCTCGTAAAATAAATAAATAAAAAAAACTGTACATTTTTATAATTCCTCATTGTTCATCCCCTAAACAAATAAATAATATAGGTAGGAAATAACTTTTCCATCGAGCGAACAGATCGTTTTTCCAGATTAATCCCTCACACGATGTTTCATCACGCTCGAATGTCAGAAACGTCACTCTATCATAATCCACACTTTTTACGGAGGGATCTGCCCATAAAAATTGCGAATCGCTCAGCGAGAAGCCATAAAAATCCGGAGACACCTCGTCGAGTTGGTAACAATGAAATACGAACGATGGTGGGGAAAAAAGGAAGGCAAAGCGAAAAAGCCCCGAGTAAAACGTCCGAGTAGGCGCAATTTTTTCGCGATATTTCCGTAATAATTGTCGAGTTGCGCTTGTGGAACCAGCGCGGGTATCGAGGTTCGCCAGCTTGGAAACGGAATGGCGACCGGCAAAGAGATAGTGTCACAGACAGAAGCGTACTTCCAGCTACCTGTGTGCAAGTACCGACACGGGAACAAGTACAATAGGCCAGTTTCGGGGACAATAGCCGTGGCCAACAATCAAATCAGAGCGCTATCAGCTCGACCACCCACCCCATTCGCGTTTATCCTTTGATCCGCTCGCTTGCTCGCTCGCTCGCTCGTGCCCCAGCAAACACTCCTGATTGCACACCCTCTGTGTTTAAACAGTCCCGAACTCTACCTTCACCACCCCTCTCTCTCTCTCTCTCCCCTCTCCCCCTTTCTCTCTCTCTGTCTTTGTTGCTCTCTGTCTCTGTTTAGATCGCTGGTTCTCCTACAGTCTCGCTTTTTGCACTCCTTTCTTTCATCCCTTTCACCTCTGTTACCGATTCTTCTTCTTCCTTTTAACTGGGCATGTAGTTAGCCTCAGCCATTTTTCTAAGCCTAGCCTTGGAGTTACCGCTATTTAGTTTAACGTGAATCTTGGTTCAACAGATCAGATGTTAACGATTCTCTACTGAGTTCCTTTGATTAGTGACCGAGATGAAAATTGTTTCAATTGTGTCTTTTAAATCTTTATGAAGGCGAAACTGCCGAACGGTAAGAATGGAACCGAAAAGCAGCGGAGGAAGAAGTCAGGTTATGTGCCAACAGAATCGGTTCAGACTATAGATGCGTTTTTGGCAAATCGTTGGAACGTAAAGGCAATTGGACACAGTTTAAACCCGACAAACTCGATAAATAATTATCGAATATTGTTCTTCGAAGTTTTTCTCTGCGCAGGATAGTCTGATTGCCTGTTCCTAGACTAAACCCCTCTCTTCAACCCCTTGACGCCATGGATCTCTCCCCGCGGCGGTGTTTAAAGTTCTTTCTCGAGAAGGGGAGGGGTGAGAGAGACATCAGCCGGTACCCAATGTCTACCCTTTGACCGACTATTTCTACGCTTCTCTCCTACGAGACAATGTCCCACGAGCGTATTGATTCGTGAATTAGGAAGTTACTGCTAGAGAAAGAAACATCTCTGCGACTAATTAAGGGACGTGTATGGCACACCTGTGGACACGTGGTAGGAAGTGAAGCTATCGCGAACACGTGCCCACGTTACGAATCACACGTGCGGTTAAGTTAAGGAAACGCATCGTTTCCCAGCAGAGGTGACGAGAATGCATTTGGAAATTGGAGAACGAATTTTTCGTCGATCTTATCGCAGTTAACCGACCTAACTGGAGAAACTTGGATACATTATCTATAATTACAACGAGTAGGTACGTCAAACATGCACCTTAAAAATACGACGATAGACGTTGAATTTCTTGAATTGGGGACAATTCAGTGTAAGTTAAAAATCTCAATCTACAGCCTTTTCCTTCGGAAAAAGTCGAGTGGAAGTTGAATTTCTTCGAATAAGGATCTCTATAGGGGAGAGTCGGGGAAACACGAACGCGGGGTAATGGCGAATTCGCATATATAATGGTGTTAGAAAAACATGAACAATTCCTCCTTTTGCCACATGATTGCTCGTACCGAATGTAATGCCAGGCCGCCAATACAAAACAGTTGACCAATGCACACTGATCGAGGTAAAAATTATCGAAGGTTTTTGCACCTCTTCATCTAATATTTTGAAGAAAGTAAAGTAACTTATAGCTTTTGCATTTATAATTATCCTAGTACTAATGTTTAAAAACAGAAAAAGTACAAATTGAGGAATAATTTAAAACCAGTATATTTTTTATTTGATGTTTTTAACTTAAAATTCTCTCTATTGTTTTCGTTTTTCATCTTATGGGGTAATGACGAACGAATTGCGTGGGGCAATCTCGAACGTTCGTCGTGATACCGAAAGACTGACCAGAAGTAAAGTAGTGAGAAATTTTGAAAACTTTCAAGAGAAAATAGACGAAATACGAAAGACGAGATACTTTGTATATAAATAATAACAAAGTTATTACCCTCGCAATACTTTGTTTTATTCAACTTTTTCGTTAGGTGTTCGCAATTCCCCGACTCTCCCCTATCAATTGAAAATCTCAATCTACCGCTGAATAAGCCGCAACAGCGTTTAATTAAAGTTACCAGGCGACGCGAGCCAAGGATTATTAAACGACTACGTCCTTCCTCAGCTAAATAGGTGGGAACCGCGGTAACTCCTCAATTCCGAGGACGCGTTCACCTCGACAGATATGTTTGCGTCGTGGGTTCAGGTTCGATCGAAGCGTAACGGGCCGTTGTCTTGGATGCGGGTACCTGGGGTCTGAGGCAAAGGGATGGAGAAGGTAGGAAGTAGGAGGATTCTACCAGGGACACCCCCTTAAAGCGTCGCGGCACCAGCTGATTGCTAGCTCGCTACGATTCCGTGTGATCCTTCCTTACTCGTCCTCCTTAAATTGTATCAATTTACGGGAACAATCTTGAAAATCTCTACGAAATTTCGGATATTAGCGCCGCAGCCCTTTTCTTTCGTATTAAATTCAAAAATATCCAAAAATTCAATTGCTTCTTCAAATTAAACATTCGATGCTTCGACAGAAACTTAACAAAGCTCTCTGCAACGGTGAAGCTACCAATTATTTCCACCAATTTACACAATAATCTCGAATATCTCTAGAAAATACATTTCTCTCGCATAAATCTGAAAAATTGGAAAAACTGAAATAGTCGTAAAATCCCCGAAAATTCCTTTTCTAAATGACACGTTCCGTGGTTGAACAGAGAGCCGATAAAGCACTCCGCAACAGCGAAGCTCAAATAAAGCAGTTATCCAGCAATCAGGACATTTCATCGAACTCGAAAAGCGAGTTCACGATCGCATCGAAATCGCAGGCGTGGTAGGGGAAAAACATCAATAGCATGAAATCGAGGCCCCAATTCCTGAACACGAGCAATAAAGGCCTCGACCACGGTTGGAGTGGTGGTGGTTGGGCACGGTGATCGATTCTTCGGCAGGTCGAGAGGGGTTGCTGGCTACAATTAGCCACCCTCTGGCACACGACGATGGGGAACAGAGCGGATTGGTCGGGCATGGCCACTCCTATAGGCGTTTCCTCACACAGGCCAGGACTAACCACGATCGTTCTAACCATCCAACAGCGGCAACGTGCTGACTCCGGCTAGTACGCGTCTGAGTGGAGGCGCCTCAGTTCACGTAGCGACTCCGTGTCGCACGCATCGACACGTAGTGTTTCACGCGTATCGCTAAAAAAAAAAAAAACGCCTCTACATCTTGGAGGAGAGCTTGTGCCATTGTCGTCAGAAGAGATCGTTTTAGTTGCTTAGAGAAGAAGTTAAGATTAAGAAGCAAAGGTTCCGCGATTCAGAAGATCTGTGGATTTTGAAGACAGTTCTGATGTCAGAGTGTTTACGAGGGACGATGAAGAGACGAAGTTAGGTCTGGGTGATATTAGTTGATTGAAGAAGATTCTGGGTCAGAGTCAGTGAAGTGTCTGAAGATTAGGGACAATTGTGAGTACTTCTGGTAACGGTGCCACTCTTCTAGGAAGCAGCTGTGACTATGGTGGTGCTGTAAGTATCCGACATAATTTTTCTTTACTCTTTATTTAACTGAAAGTATTTGTTCGATTTAGTTCGTTACGTTGAGGATCAATTGATAAGACTTCTAAGTCTTCTTAGGAAAACATCGTAAAAAATTGATACTTTTGGAGCCTAGATGATTCTCGAGGTTCTTTTTCACACCGAAATGAGATGTTCACATTTTTGAAGTACCCAAGATTTTTCAGCTTCTTTTATTTCATTTTAAAATGGAAAATTCGAGTATTCCAACGTAATTCGGAGAATGGTGATGATGAGTTAGGCAGGTAGTTAGCGATAATTCAGGAAGTACGGGGCAGGTGGCGACCATTTCAGCATCGATTTCTCTTCCTGGACGAGCAGTGAGATTTCCCTAGTATCTAATCAGTGGGCGTTCTGCGGGTTTCTCATTGGTGTGTGGGCGTTATCACGGAGCCGGATTGGTCGATGGGTATTCTACATAGAGCTGTCTAGCTTACATGCGCAGCTCGAGCCTCCGTAAACCAGGCTCTGAATTGTGCAAATCTAACGGCCGCCACTTCGCAATTTTACGACAAACTTGCTTCGTAAATATTCTCTTAAATTCGTGCTTCTCGATTTTACAGATTTTTCTCAGGCCATCAATGTCGTATCACTTCAATTTTGATTGTCATTTGATAACATAGAATTTCCTCCATCTTTGTTCGACGTAGAAGTACGATTTCTCAGAACTTGGAACATTATGCGTGGAATAACTTAGATTTCGCAATGTATTTGAAGCGAAATGTTTTTTCTATGAATTTCGTATGGTTGTATCACACTTCACGTGCCACTTTTTACCAGAAAGAATCCCGGATTATTTAACCTTCGAAAGGATCGCAGGGAAAAAAGAAGATAGTCTATTCGTGAAAACACGATTACGAATGGGACCGTGGCTCGCCATTGATCACGGTCCAACACCTCGAAGACAGATTAAACGAATGTCCGCGGGTAAAACGATCTCCCTTTATCTTCAATCTCAAGAACGTTCTCTCCCTGTCCGCCGCGGTGAGGAAATCTTCGAACCCACTCTCCTATCCTCTCTTCTGCCTTCAGCCAGGATCCTTTTATTCGCTGGCGGCCAAATGGAAGCTGACAGTTTACCAGGTATTAATTATGCCCTCTTCTTCAAGATAATACTCCCTTTCGTCACCCTCTTCTTCAACTCCAACTCACTTTTCGCTCATTTTCTTCTTCAGAAGTTTCACAGTGAAGATAAAACTTTGGAATTACTCTCCTGAAATACCTTTCGCGATAATTTTCTGATAATCCACTACTCTTCGAAATTACCTCGTAGCTACACTCTTTTTTAAATTATTCTTCACGATAATTATCCTATGATCTACTACTATTTCCGCTCAATCTTCTAAATAGAGTCGATAAATTTAGGAATAAAGCACAGAAAAATGTTTCGTACATTCAACTTGAATTTCGAAATTCTATCTTTCTGTTCGTTCGAAAATACCTATGCGTAAAAGAATCTTCAGTTCGATTTCATATGATAAATAGAGTAACCACGAGGGAATGAAAAATGAAGCTTGTTCGATATTACGACGATTTATCGAATGAGAAAATTGCTGAGAAGGAAGAGTGATACGATGGCATGAGTCATTCGTGAAAATTATGTCACAGTGATTCGTTTTCCTTTTTCTTCTCCTTTTCCCTGGTCTCGTGACCACGGGAGTGTTTGTTACGGCGCGTGAAGAATGAAACGATTCGCGCGATAAAGGGGGAAAAAAAGAAGAGGAGTCTCGATGAAACTCGATGAACCTCAATGAAGCGCGATAGGACGAAAGAAAACCGGTCCAGCTGGATTTTTGTAAGTCAGGTTTTTTGCACACTCGAGTAAATCGAGAAGAAGAGGACGGAGGCGGGAGATAAGAGGAGAAAAAGGGTGAAGAGGAGGATGAAAGGAAGAAGGGGAGTTAACGTGTCGTTTAGACGCTCCAAATTTAGAGAAACACGCGTTTATCCTTATGAAAAACCGCTGGCCGCCGATTACCTGCACCTGCAATTAATCTTCTTTTCTTTATTAACGAGCTCGACGCCGCCTTTACTTCCTTCGGGAGAATTCATAACAGGATCGTTTTGCTTTACGATTTAACTTGATTGCTCTCCTTCGTCGATTCGAGATGAATGGTCGTTGAAAAGCTTCCTCCATTTTTCTTTCTTTTTTTCTTTTGTAATATTCTAATGGCGAGCCGTGGTACCGAGAGGTGGAAATGTGAACAAGACCGCGAGAGTAAAAGTTTTTCCCGTTAGTAACAAGTAACGGAATGCTTCTCGCGAATGTGATAATCCGCGGAAATGTTCTGCACTCCGCCTACACTGTGTATTTGCCAGTGTAATCACACGAAACGAGGAAAAACCGGAATTCTTGAGTTGCTGGTTATTATTCTGCTGATTTTTCCATTGTATACGTTCTTCGTCAAGAGCCTCGATAACTTGAAAATGGAAGAAAATAGGTTTCTATTGCCATGTATTGAAGAATTGTTCGTTAACTTCATTTTGCAAGTATATTAGACTATTCTTATGTAAAAGAACTACTTTTCTTAGTTATATAAAAATTCGATGATTAAAATCTAGTCATCTGGTAGGCTAATCCTTTCAATTACAAATTATTTAAGATCATCGGAAAAATATTACATTTTTAATTCATACATTGTGATTTCATACATACATAACTCGTTCTCTTTTATATCTCCGAAAATTCTCGTCTCAAGTCTTAACCCTTTCAGTTCTAAATTGTTCAACAGGTCTAGAGAAATGTTAGATTTTAATATTTTGGAGACCACTCGTCTCAGGGACTATGTATTTTGAATCTTTATTTCACTATCGTAGCTATGTGGAGAATTTGAGAAGATCTAGTATTCGAGTACTTTTAATTAATATTGCTCCCATAAAATATTGCAAAAACCATGAAAAATATGCATCATAAAATAAAATAATTATATTGGACCTATTTTAAAAAAATACAATTACCAAGTAATCTGAGAGATATTATTCTCACGAAATATCGTAAAAGACCGTAACAAACAAATGTAAATCACGAGATAAGATAGTTATATTAAATTTCCCTCTGCAACACAATGATTTAAAAGATAAAATAGCCAAGTAGCCTGAGAGAAGTATCGGTTTAAAGCCATGCCTGTAGTGAAGAATTAACACATCTATCACCAATTTTCAAGCCAAAAAAACCCACAATAAAATCCTTCATAAACCGCTTCATCCTTCCCCCAAAAATAAACCTAAAACGCTACCACCAGAAAATCCCACACCATCCGCAAGCTTCCTCGCGAGAATCGGTCTCGCGAGTCGAAGGGCGCTAGCCGCGGGAATTAACTCGTTTAGACGTAATCTCGGGGGACGATCCCCGCGAGGCTAGTCGCGACTCATCGAGTCAGGGGAGGAGAAGAGAAATCTCTGGTCACCGCGGCTCTCGCGTGATATTTTAGCGGGCTCGCGGTATCAGCCTTAATATCTGAAATTCTGAAGGCGCCCATACCGACCGAGGGAAGAAAGGACACTGGTGGTGTATACACACATAGAGCGTTCGCATGGCTCGAGGCCTCCTCGAACCGCAGGACAATCTCCTCGCAGCATCGTCCGCCGATGTATCATCTTACGCCGGTGCTAAAGGCGATGACTTTATCACCGATCCGGGCAATCATTCACCTAGGCTCACTCCACGCTCGTTCTCCTCCTCTTCGCGCCGTCCCTTCTCGCGTCCAGGGGAACGCTTTGCGTGCCGGGGCTGCCTTCCTAGCGTTCTCTTTGCCCTCGCGGCATAACGGATCGGCCAAGTCCAGGCGAAATGCCCGCGCGTGTGAAATTATCGCCTCGAATTCGCGGATCTCCGAGAGAGAGGAGACTCGAGCTTGCTCTCCAGAGGTAGCTGATTTCTACCAGAATTAAATGCTACTATTCTCCGCTACCCTCTTCTCATGGGAATACTTCCGACGGGTGAAGGTTAGCGTCGATTCGTATGATCGGTGTGGTTTCATGCTTCGATGGTTCGTTCAGTCTTCTGGAGTTATTTGTGAGCCGGTTTTTGTTTGAGGAAGATGATGGGGGAGAGAGACTTTGTTGCTGATGGAGGAGTGGAAAGAATTGTCCTGTGCAAGAAAGAGAGTTATGCTGCAATAGTAGCGTTCTGAGATTTACGGCTTTTACGAAAAGTAGTGCTTCGATAGAAATTGCGTGATTAAGGTTGTCATTCCTTTATTTGAACTTATTAATACGAAGTTGGTGTTTTATTTCTGTTTAATTTTCTGCGTGCTTAAATCCGGAGTTTGGATTAGAACAGAAGCTTTACATTTCATTTAGGACTATTTTACTTGACCAAACATATGCTTTCGTACATTTTACTTGCATTAAAGAGTTGGAGGTGAAATCTCATTTTTCAACATTTTGTGGCATAACTCTTTTTTGAACTGAACCCCTCAATTTGTATATCCTGTCTTGTTCAGTTACTTGAAAAACCAATCATTTTCTTTTCTATAATTGGATAATAGAATGTTTGCACCAGTCACTGCAAAAGTTTAGTCAAAGGACAGCTATCATAGAAACACCTATATTGCTTATTTTTATTCCTTAAATCTGAATAGACCCTTTCGAACATTACAAAATTCAGTTTTATCGACAAAAAATCCCCAAGTAAAGTGTAATGTTTCTTCCGGTACCTACTGTACTGACACATTTAAAACAGAACTTTCAAAATTATTTACAGATTAAACTTTACATTAGAAAAACATTCGATATTTTGATAGAAAATTTTAACGTAGAACGTATCATGCTATGATTACGTGAAATATTAATATTAATATTTTCCACATTTAGTATTGACATTTTTCTACTGAAAAAAATTTGTAAAAATATTAGATTTTAATTGTAGATTTAATTTTAATTTCAATTAAATCTATAATTCTACGCAATAAAAGTAGGTATACGAAAAGATAGTACCGGACTCTATTCAGCCACTAAATTTTCCCCAAAATTCCCCATTACGATACAACGTGCGAGCATCAAATCACAAGAGCCCTAAAGCTGTCGTTCAAGCGATTCCACGATAAAACGATCGCGAAGAATCGGTCACGAGCGGCCATTCGAAAGTGTATCCGATCGTGGTTACAAATGTTTTACTGCCGTCTAAAATCGACGCCCGATCGAAATCCGTCGCGGAGCTTTCACGACGTGGACACACGTGAGACGCGAGCAGCACCCGTCGAGAGTAGGTGTTCGAAGATCGTAAACGTCCGCGCGCGGGCTCCACCCGATAAAACCCACGGCAAGTGTTAGGTTCACACACCTATTAACCTGTGCAAACACCGTAGGAGGCGTGAAAAAACCTCTGCACTCTATTGCTCATTTCAGATGGAAAATTGACTAATATCTTGGTCACTCTGTGTGAAATAAATAATCGTGTCTTTCAAGAACTTTTATCTAGTAGACACGATGTAAAAGAAACTTTTGTGCATTTTTAAAAAAATAAATGTCCAAGTTCAAAGAGTAGAGCTTGAGAAAGTATAAGGAGCTTTTTGAAAGTGAAATTAATTTGACTGATTATTGGGTCTACTATTTTCTTAATATAATACAATAGTTTGAAGCTTTCACATTTGAAACTTTCTGCATACGATAAATAATCCCATTTTTGAAGAATTGTTTTTAGAAGAAGCGACAAAATTTTCTGTGACTTCTTTTTACATAAATCTCGAAGTTGAAAGGGTAAAGTTTGTGAAACTATGAGGAGCTTTTTGAAAGTGAAATTACCTTGGTTCGGTAATATTCAATATGATAGAGTCTGTAAGATTCTGTTAAGTTTCTTAAAGAAGAGGTTCTTTAACCCTTTGTGCACCAAATCACTATTTCGTATTCCTTTCGAAACGAAACCACTTTTCGTTCTCCATTCTTTTATGCCAAAACAGTACCTACGTTGTGTGAAATTGTATAATCGACAGTTATTTATAACAGTTTGACTTTTCGAAAAAACATTCTTTCTCATATTGGACCTCGAAGGGTTAAAAGGTAATAAAACACAACACGCTCGCCGCGTCTTCCACTTTTCAAATTCACCATTAAATTTTCGACATTCGCTAAACAATCTAAGCTAGAACGACGGACTGCAGTCACATCTCAATAAACCTGGTGCACGGTTCCGTTTGTAACTTTAGATAGCAGGTTGCCCCTCGCGAACGTAGGCGAACCCAACGTCTTCTACGGCTGTCTTCATGGTCAATGACACCTGGTCGCCGATATTTATAACATTCTCTCACCAGAGACGCCTATTTCCCGTCAAATTGAAACCTCCAGCTTTCCCTTGAAACGCGCGATAACTTACGCTCAAGCGTTCTCCAAGTAACCTGCTCGAATATACTGCGCGATAAACCGATCAGATCCAATGAGCATTACCTGTGTGACTCGCTGCCTCGGGAAAACGAAGGGAGACGAGCGAAGATCGAGGAGTGATTTAATCAACAACACTTCTTCGTAAATTCTCGCGAAAGTCGAAGAAAAATTTGTACCGAATGAAACGCTCAAGTACTTAGATCATACGAATGGTTCATTTGCGCAACGACAACATGGCTGGAACTCCGTGGAGTTTGGAGACCTCGACGAAACTAAATAGGCGCCGTGGGATTATTATTTATGTGTTGATTATAGAAACAGATTGGAAATGTTTTCGACGCTTCTCTTCCGAGGAATTGTCCCTTCGGTGGGCGCGGGTTTCACGAAGAAAGGAGAGCACAGAGAAGACACGGTGACCATTTTCGTGCAGCTTAACAGAGCCACAGATCATAACCGAGGACTTTAATGTCAACGAGAGAAAGGCAGAAGCTGCTGCGTGACCTGACACGAGCGAACACTCACGCGAGAATTTATGCAGAATCGTTGACCGCGGGGTTCCTGAACTAGCTAGACCATGAGAACAGTTCGCGGGTCCCTAGCTGTGTTAATTTCGCAACACAGGGAAATAAACAAGTGAAAATATTGATATGATAAAACGATTTCTAATTCGAAGCCTTTTAAATCGAACGGTCTATTCTCACTTTCTAATATCGAAAGTACTTTTCAATCTGATAAACGACACTTCTAGAATTTATTTTCCAAGCTGAACTTCCTAAAATTTCATATTTCATTGTCGTTTGGTTTCTTACTGAAAATATCAGAGAAATGAGAAAGAAAGAGAAATTGAGAAATTTACAAGTGTCTGGTTTAATCGAGATTCGATCAGCGCGAAGAGCGAAAGGGTTGAAGAAAATGGCGGATAAGAGGAACGCGAGTGAAGGAGGAATTCCTACGTGGCGAGGATCAATCTTTTTCTCAGCGATCGAGAATCGCTCGCGACGAATATAAGGATTCCGGAAAGCTGGTGAACGTGCCCCTTGTCAGGCCACCCACGGGCTCCCATAAGTATGGCGCGAGCTACGGCCAGCTACGTACCATAAATCGGGATTTTATCTCGAAGCTGTCGGCCTCTTGCTACGCTGGCGATTGCGCAATCCTAAATTGGTCCTCAAATTCGATAAAACGAGATTCGAATTTCGCGGGGACTCAAGGTCGATTTCCTATTATTGCAGATATTAATTCTACTAGCAGCGCCTGAATCGTTCTTCGAGCATTCTTTAAATTTGTAAACGAATGCAACAGAGAGATCGAAACCAGTAACAGAAAGTTTCGGTTTTGAGAAAACATAAAAAATTACTGGAAAATAATGTAGTTATTGTCTTCACTATTAACTAATTTCTTGTTGAACTTATCCTATCTTACGATTTTAAGCTTGCATTTAATATATTGCAACAGATTTTTCGTAGTCAATTAGCTACCTATTTGTGACTAGTCGAAGCGGAACTTCTTGCCTTCTCGCGAGGCAAGTTGTTACTAAGAAACGAGAGTTGCCTTTCAATGAGATATTTCATTTCCTAATCAGATAAAATACAATTTTATTAAAGATTCAGATCGACGAAGATATATTATCTTTAAAAGAATACTAAAGCAGTACAAGAATCATGAATTAGCCTTACTTTTAACTGTTTGTACTTGTTCATTAAGATTTGTACTTGTGATGATAAGTCATTAACAACCTTGAACTTAATACGATTAATTAGCCTTTCAGAGGAACAAAATCAAAAATCATTACACGACTCATCGGAATCACAGTTTGGGCAACCGTATGATACCGTATTTCTATTTTTTATGCATTTGGAACGAGCCCAATTCTTGCAAAGTACCTATAACCCTCGATTCACTCTTCTCTGCGCTGTGATTTGGTATATGCATCGCAACAAGTAATGCAATAATATTCCAAGTGGTCCTCCTCATCGTCACTTTATATGTCTCACCGTTGAAATAAACTAACTAAAACACAGCAGGAACTGTTTATACGTTTGCAGTGGGGCAAGTTGTTACGGAAACAACGTGCCCCAAGTCGCAGTAACAACTAGCCCCTACCGACACACGTGGCAATCCCTGAGAATATTCTGCTTATATATTGAAATAGTCTACTAAAATCTATTACAACATATTCTTAAACGTCATTTGATCCATAAGAACGAAACAGTCAATAATATCGACGTTAAATAATCAAAATAAACGAGTAAATAACGATCGAAAAATATTTACTTACCTGATAGGTGCGTGACTATTTAGGTCCTTGCTAATAACCGCAAGATTCGCTCTCGCGGACGCTATTGAAATGGACGACAGAGTGGCGAGACTGACTCACACGGCGAAAACCATCTTTTTTCATTTTTAAGATATAACTATCGGAACAACTTACCCCGGGAACTTTTAATCCCGGTCTCCCCTACATACAGCAGGTATTCCGACAGAAAAGTAATAATTGTATTAAGAAGAAAAAGAATTTAACGGTAAATTTCTTTCGAACACTCAAAAACAAACATGTTCGATGATAAATCGTGCAAAAGTAATATTTTTTACCTTATCTTCACTGAAAAATTTCACTACTTAACTAGCCTTCTAGCCCCGGTCTCCCCTACTCCAAACTTGATATCATTTCATTTTCTTTTTCCTTCGAAAAGTAGACGTTTCGTTTCTTACAATCACAAAATGACGAATTGTGCTTTTTGTTACAGGAGTCGCGTTGGGTCGCCGACGATGTCCGCGACTGTTGCCGGCAACCAGCAACAGCAGCACCCCCATCAAGAATGGGACATCAACGACTCGAATGTGCCAAGGGTAATTATTTCGAATTTCCACAATTACGAGTTTCGCACCATCACGATAATTAAACGTATCTATCGTCTATCGTATTGTTCGTTCTGGTAATTCCCCTGACTACGCACGGGGATATCCAGAAGCCTGGAAATTTCAAGGCACCGCGGTTCTCGATATTTCCTAATTTCCTAAGAAAATCCGAGGCCAGGTATATCACAAGGTATTCTTCAATAAAAATAAACGAATAAAGAAGCTTGAAAATTGTAAAATGAGAAAGGAAAAGATCTTTCAAATTAATTGAGAAATACTTTTCCTTCGAAAGTAATTTGAACGAATTCCAGGTGGTAGAGTACGATCCCTGGTGCGAATGGGCGGACGGCCACGTGAGAAGAGTGTACGGGCCAGATTGCGAAGAAGCAAGAAGACACGCGTCTGGATGGGCAATGAGGAACACGAATAATCACAATGTGAGCATCCTGAAGAAGTCTTGCTTGGGCGTGTTAGTATGCTCGCAGGAGTGCATACTACCTGGAGGAGGGAGGGTCCACCTTCGACCAGCGATTTGTGACAAGGTAGGAACACTTTGAAATTCTTGTCGAAATTTCTCCTTCAAATATTTCCCACCGAAGGATTTGTATCTTACTTGATAAAAGAGATTGCATTTCAAATACACATTTCCAACTAGCCTTGAGCCAAAATGCTCAAATAATAATTTCATTCACCGTTATCTGCTATTTTTACTATTCTAATAATAACTCGTGAGACGTATGAATCGAAGTTCGAGAAATTTTTCGTTCCTCGAAATTAATCACTGGAGCATTGAGTTTGCAAATAATGAAAAATTCGATATTCCATATTACACGAGCTAATACTATGAAATTCATGATAGATCGTGTTCATTCGAATTCTAATCGTAAACAAGTGACGATGAAGCCACAGAGAGAATTACTATTCCAAAATATTTCCAATCTAAATATTTCCAATTTTTGACAAAAAAATATTGGCAATATCGAATCTCAAAAATACTTCAGATTTTCTGAATTTTAAAATAGCTCACGTTTACTTCTATTCTAAATACAAACGACCGATGTTGAGGCTACAGACACAATTCGCGTGTTTTCCAGGCGAGGAAAAAGCAACAAGGAAAGCCATGTCCGAACAGACAATGCACGGGTCGACTAGAGATACTCTCGTGCCGTGGCCATTGCGGTTACCCCGTGACGCATTTCTGGCGACACACCGAGCACGCGATATTCTTCCAAGCGAAAGGACAACACGACCATCCGCGCCCGGAAGCCAAATCCACGTCCGAGGCAAGGAGGAGCGTGGGTGCTGGGAGAAGAGTGCGTGGACTCGCGGTCCTCCTCGCGAGCGAGGCTGCTTTGGGCACCAAAGTACGTTCTCGCCATACTTCCTTATTTATTTCTATACGAAACATTCACGAAAATCTGCTTGGTTAACGTGTTCGCTACCACCGACGCAGCATGTGCGTTCCAGAATGTATCGTCCAGCGCGCTACCCGCTATCCTCACTCTTTACCCATCGCTCAGTTCCTCGAGCTCGGTAAACGTAAATAAATGAACAGGGGACACGAATGTAGCGAGGGTATACGAGACGCAGCACTTGAAAGTCATAGCATATATGTTATGTCGATGAATCAGCCAATATCGAAAATTTCAATTTCGATTATTTTCATTGTATGTTTGTGAAAATAGTATTAACGGATTGGTGAAGTTCTCCTGATTAAATTGAGTCCAAACTCGATGGAAATCGGACTAGTTTTAACGATAATCAGTTTTATAAATGTTGTTAAAAATTCGGGATATTTAATTGATGATTTTTCTTCGGACGATCATTCATCGTTGGGCAGATTGTATTTATAGAGACATTTGTACTTCGCGCCATGTAATATGGCGGAAATTTATACATTACGTAACTGTTTCGATAATTTAAAAATAAGAATTTTTCTTATACTTAATATAATTACTTTGTATTTGAAGAATATTTCCCTTCGACTTTTCAATATTTTCCACAACTTCGAAATCTAGTGTAATAAAATCGTTCACATTTGTATCACCTTGTATATACATATACCAATGTGCATATACTGTGTCGACACATTTATCATTGCTCGAATGCAACGTAACGAAATCAGAATTTTCCATGTTCCGTAATCGAATTCACATGTTATTATATGTATATATATTTATCAAAGGAGGAAAAACTTCGTAAAAACGTTGCTAACCTTGCTCGAAACACGAAAATTCAGTCATTCATCGAGCAAGTGTTTCACACGTGCTATGCCGAACGTTCGAAATTGACATGTGATAAATGCAATTGAATTGTTAACACGTGTTTACAAGACTCACCGAAATGTATAGTTCAGGCAATCGACAAGATTTAACGATGTTTTGCTCGCTGGGATGGTCCTCTGTTTCTTCTGATGCCTTTGATCTCTTTATATACACTGATCGACGAATTCTCGCGTATTTACAGTTAATGTCACTACGAGGTACGAAACGACCGAACTCTGAAGCAATAGAACAACCGCCAAGGACGACGCAACCGCCGCCACTGATTCCCGATAAAGGTTTTGTACACGTTTTACTTCGAAACACTTTACTCACACGCGGCACGTGATCCTTCAGACTCTATACTATCGAATTTGAATACCTGTTACGCGAAATTTCGATGAAAAACTAGTCTGTTTACTGAAATTCTGTGGAACAACGTGGGACGTTTGTCACAACAATTTTCGCGCCGTGTTAGCTACTTTCTCCGCGCAGTGGCGCCAACGTAGATAGATAGCGCGGCAAAATTTAAATTGCAAATTTGAACACAGCTTTCTTAACACGTTCACAGTCCAGGCCGAAAATGCAGAATTCACTAACACGTCCAAGGAAGCAATACGCGTCACGCGTATCTGACAATGAGGGATATAATTATTCTTCGATCTCGCTGTTGCAATACATCGGTCTTCTTGCTCTTCGTTATAATATTACATTCGTTAAACGGTCAAGTTTAGTTTAGACATTTTATTCAATTTTATAATAGTTGCTAAGTGTACATAAATATTTTCTTCTCAGTTTTATCTTAGTCTATTATTTTTTAAGTCATTTTCTTTTATATTTTACTAAATTAATTATGACGTTCAATTGAATTATTCCCTACATGTAAATAACACTGATAATTTAATTATCTGTATAAAATTTTAGGCATAAACTGCCCTGCGTACCAACAGTATATAACTTCTGATTCGAGATTCTCCTGGCTCATATATGTGTCAGGGAACTGTGAACGTGTTAATGTTAATATTCAGTTAATGTTTCAAGATAGAAAAAAAATACCTTGACTTGGAACCAATTCTACCGTATACGATAATCATTTCAGGCTAAAGATAAGTTACTTATCTTTTGCTGTTTGATCTTTTTACTTTGATAATTTGTTTATTTTTTATCACTATTGTTAAACATACGTAGTGCAAATCATAAAGATATGATAAAAAAAATATTTAATTTCTTACTTTCGTAAGAAATAAGTACGAAAATTTACAAGTAATCAAATAATTCTGCAAATCAAAATATTTGAAACTTTCTATCAGATACCAGTCTTTACTTCAAACTTAAAAATTGAACTATAAACAAATTTTTGATCGAGTCACTTCTTTTTACTCAAAAAATAAACATTTGCATGTTCATAGTTTGAAAGAAGGTTATTATTTCGTGTTTCATTTTCAAGAATTTCATCAACTTTATTCACAACCAAATTGACATCTTTTAAAAATAACCATTCTCGTCTCTCTATCAGGATATTCGTGTTCCTGCCCACCATTCGAGTGCATGTGCGGCCTGCAGGCCAACGTGCCAGCTTATCAACAGTCTCATCACCATCAAACTACTATGTACCCCCAACAGACCACGAGTGACACCTCCTACTGGCTGCAAGACACCGTGGCACCACAAGAGAACAACCTAGGTTACAATCTTCCGAATCAAGTGCCCCAAGAAGCCTCTTACCCTGACTTCCCTCCTTTCACCGGAGAATTACTCCAACCAGAAGAGATCTTCCAGCTGGATCAACCTCTGAGACCAGAATTCCCCATGAATTCTCAAGAGGTAGCCAGATCACCGCCTACTCTTCTCGACCTTGGAAGTGGCACCATTAAATACGAGATGAAACAACACCAAGATCAAGCTTATTGGAACCAATTCCTCAGCGAGGACTCTAGTAGCAGCCATTTAAGCATGCCTCAAGACGACAGGCTTCAATTTCCTGGTTTCGAGACGGACAAAGATTCCAATGGTTTCTGTGCTAAGAGACCGGTGAACCATTACGTTCCTGACAAAGAAGTCACCCAGAATCATCATCTGAATAATCCTCTGAACTTCCTAGATTATCAGAGAAATCAGAACCACAAGAACTTCGCGGATGGAACGGTGAAGAACGATCAAGAGGCTAACTATTGGACACAGAATCATCAGGACGATCGTCTAACTTTCCCCGGATTCGATCCTCAGAAAGAGGAGGATTTATTAGCTTCCAGAAGGGACGTGAATTGTTTTCCCAAAGAGAATTGCCAGCCAGAGGGATTAATGGACAGAGGGAACTACAACATGTATCCGAAAAAGGAGAATGGAATGGGTGATCCTGTTCGTCCTAGTCGCAGTCCGATAGAGAACAAGCAATATTCTTACGACGGTTACAGTCAGATGTTCGAACACTCCGACACGAAGAACCATTTAATCAATCGTCCCCATCAGAACACCAATCGAATGGTTCTAGACGAGAGACTCCAGAATAATTATGCTAGCCACGAAACGAATCCGGACACGACGGAAAGACTGTTCCCAGATTCGAACGGCATGGAGACGACGATGCAGTCGCAGAATAGTCCTGAACCTTTCTTCTATCCTAGCAACGATCGTTGCCATTATACATGCGAGGTGTTAGACACGCGGCTACCTCAAATCACGATGAACAACGGAGTGAATCAGACTGGAATGGACAATTACGGGGACGTGGGTGAATTGGATCTTCCTCCTTTCGTCGATTACACATTCGTCGGGATGTTGTGCCCTCCCGAAGAAGACACGTCGAGTTTGCTACCACCTGGTTGTCCTCAGAATACGCACAGTTATGTTCCACATCATTAGATCGTCAACACGTCGGCCGTCTTCGTTTGTATTATAAATGCGAAAATATACGATAGTTGCAGCTCGAATCCTCTTCGTCGATGTTGCGAGAGCGCTCGAGGGTGGCGAGTTGTGTATTTCGCAAGTAAGGAAAGGGGTATTCCTTTCGTTGCACGAGAGCTTCGAACTGTTATTTAAATGAAGGAAATAAAGGAATTTTTGTTAACTGGATATCATGCTGTTGTTTGAATTTATAAATGAAATATCGAATTCTGGCCTGCTTGTTTCAAATGAAAACGAGAGAATGTGATCGCATGTGATTGTACGGTAGGAAAATGAGGGATTCAGAGTAGGGCTGTTACGAAAATTCGAATATTCGGTGTATCGAAGTAATCCGAATTATTCGAATAGTTTAACTATCAACAATTGAAGCCGAATTCGTCTGGTGTTCGAATTAAACAAACAAAGAATTCGTATTCGAAATTGTCTGAATTATTCGAATAACTCGACCATTCGAAATTTTACAGCCTCGATTCAAAGATACTTTTTTATTATTTCAATGAGTTATTACCATAACTCAGGGAGTTAAGAGGACAGAAACAATTAATAAACTAAATTGTGAATTCTAACTGATCAATTTTAAATCGAATTTTTAAAAAACGATAGGAAAGTTGGGGGTTGAAAATACAAGAGTCGAGAGTAGCTTGGAAAAAAGTCGCGTGATTTATTCGTAATTTTATTTTATTCGTAACAGATACTCTCACGATCACAATTGTATGTATGTTATGTAATATTATCATATACCTATTTTTTTTTTTTTTTGCGTTACACTTTCTCGGATTACATGCGCGATATTCGTGATTTTCTTTTTTTTTTTTTCTCTCCTCTTTCCCGTCTCTTCCGTCGATAGAGGCGCCTCATTTTATCATCTCTTCCCGTCTTGATCTCGATCCTCTTTCGATTCGTTTCGTCTTGTCCCGTATTCATTCCTTCTGGTTTCCACGAAGCGGGCGAACTCAAGGGAGACGAGAAACGAAACGGTTTGGCGTTAATCCGGTCGCGTGTATCGCCGAACGATCAACGAATCAAACACGAAGAGTTTCGTCCACGCGTTCCTCGTTCGTTGCCTCGATCCGATTTTCTCTCCGTCTTAATTCTCTTTTTTTTTTTTGCTTTCTTTCTTTCATTTAGCTACCGAAGAAAAAGAGTGCGTGAACATGGTATTATTCTCTAAGGATCGCTCGTGTACGTGTACGTATGTGTGTGTGTGTTGAGTGTTTGCAAGAAGCGTTACTACAAACGTCGACGGAAAGACGAAGAATAAAGCGGAGGGCTGATTTGATCGGTTCAATCGCGAATCCCACGCTCAACGGACCTCGAATATGATTTCTCTCGCGTTTATGGCGATGGTGGTAGTGATTCGGTGTTTCGCGTGAAATCTGCCACACAAATTATCGAGCTAATTGTAAGTGACTCTTCTCCCTTCTTTTCCTCTTTCTCTACAATATGTGCTCTGTTTTATTTTAATTTTCCCCGGGAAAAATCGCTAAAGTTCGCGGGAAAAATATCTTTACATGCGTATGTATATGTGTACGTACGCATCGACGTCCTCTCTTTCTCTCTTTCGAGAACGA